TAGGGTCTTATCAATTGATATTAGAGCGACGATAAGACTTTAGGGTCTTATCATTTGGTATCAGAGCAATGATTCTTGGCGCAGCCCGTCGTAGCCTTGCTTCCCTTCTTCCCACCACCACTACAAGGCAACTTTTTCTTCACCGCTGTCGTTGTTTCCCCAGCCGCTCGACCACCATCGTCGCTGCTGCCTAGCCACCAAGTAGCTATCGTCATCCAAAAAAAAAATACAAATAAAAGAGAGAAAGAAGAAGAGAGAAGGTCGGCAGCCCGCATCCCCTGCTTCCGGCCAGCCCACCAGCCGTTGTAGCTTCTCGGCCGACGGACCACCACCGTCGCCGCTATTGCCTAGCCAGCAGCCACCACTACCGCTTTTGCCCCCCCTAGCCAGCAGACTTCCCTCCTTGATTCTCCACCCTGCTTGAGTGAGAAGGGCCGCTGCCGTTGTTTCCCGGCCAACGGACCAACCCCCTCGTTGCTTCTACCGTCAGTGACACTGCTCCAACCGCACCACCATCGCTGCCTCCCCTTGGGTCCAGTAACTGCAGCCACATCGATGTAGTCGCCTTCCAGCCCTGGCTCTCTCACCCCACGCTGCAATAGAAACAGGACAACACCTCTTCCTCCTCGGCAGCTTCGCAGCTACAATGCGGATGCCTTTGACTATACATCAGAAACAAGAACAAGGGATTACCAACTTGCAATCGTACGCAATGGTTGTTGATAACTTAATGAAAGCACAAATGGAAGCATTGGAAATAAGAATTGAGAATCGGCTACAAGAAATCCTTCATGATTTCAAAAAGAGCTTATTGGAGCACTTTAGCAGGTTTAAACAAGATGGGAGCTCAAGTTCTATGTTGAACAGATTGGGAGGTACAGGAAAAGAGTCCCAGGATGGTGACATACACTACCCACGCATTAGGGTAGAATTTCCATGATAGGAATATGATGATCCGACTAATTAGATTTCTAAGGTAGAAATTTTTTTTCGTTTTCACAGAATCCCAGAAGAATCTAAGGTAGAAGTGGCCTCAATCCAGCTCAAGGGAGATGCACTCCAGTGGTATGATTGGTATGAAACTGTCTACGGAGTTCCTTTGTAAGAGAAGTTCAAAAGAGGGCTTCTTGTTCAATTTGGCCCATCCGAATATGAGAATATTGATGGTCAGCTCGCCAAAATTTGTCAGACTTCTACAGTGTTGGAATATCAGAGTATGTTTGAAAGATTGTCAAATCAAGCTAGAGATTGGTCAGAACGATAACTTTTGGATACATTTATTGAAAGGCTTATTCCAGAGATCTGATGTGAAGTTAAGGCTCGTCAACCCCGCACTATGATAGTTGCGATCTTATTCGTACATCTATATGAGAAAAAAATCAACAGGGAAAATCATGGAAATAGAAGTGACAACAACCAGATGATCAATAAGCCACCCACCCCATCTATTCCCAACAAAGCCTTGACACCCGAAGACTAACCCAAGAAGAACTCAAGAAAAATTAAGCAAAGGGTTTGTACTATTATGAAAATTGGAGTATAGAGTACCGATGTAAACAAGGGCAACTTCTGATGATTGAGCCAATTGGAGAGAAACCAGAAGCAAAAGAGTTGGACTCTGATCATGAAGATGTAAAAACTGATAAAGATATTGAAGCCATCACACATACAGTGCATGCATTGACTGGCTACACTAACTCACAAATTATGAAAATTGGAGGAACTTTGAAGCATCAGCCTGTCACTATTTTGATTAATATAGATAGTACTAATAATTTTATGGACAGGAAAGTTGCAGCCCAACTAGCCCACCACATTGAAGGCTGTGATATATTCGAAGTAAAGATCATTGATGGACGGATTTTAACTTGTGATAGCAAAGGCCAGGAGTTTCTTGCAATGATTACTACACTGAAAGACCGACCTATTGCTTATACTATCAAAAAGTAGAGACTATACTTGATCAACGGGTTGTGATAAGTTGCATATAGACTATGACTGAAGTGCTGAAAGAGAAGCTCCCCGAGATTGATGCTGCTCATCCTTGAGGATAAGACTGATTTGAAGAGGGAGGAATTGTTAGGACCCTTTTTCTAAGCTTTTGAATAATGTTTATCGAGTCTGTTTAATTCAGTTATTTATTCAGTCGGTTTGGTTCAGTTAGAGTTAAGTAGAGGTTTATTTAATATTTATTTATTATTAGAGTTCAAGTCCTGATGGACTCTAGGTGGAACTCTATAAATAGTGATGTAATCCTTTCTTTAAGGAATCAATCAATCAATTAAATGTTATTCTACTCTGTAGACAAACTTTAGGAGGCTGATCCCCTTGAAGTGATCAAGGAGGGTCGATCCCCTTGAAGTGATCAAGGAGGGCCAATCCCCTCGAAGCGATCAAGGAGGCCGATCCCCTCGAAGCGATCATTATCATTCCCTTTTCTCCCCTTTCTTCCACGAGAAGACCGTAGGGTCTTATTATTGGGAAATCTTGGAGGCGACATCACATGCGCAGCGGAAGAACAAGAAAACAAAATCCCTGATTCCCAAAGAGATGTTCGTCGTCGTGCGAAGATTGGTGCGCAAAATCCGCGAAACTGAAAAACTGCGTATAGAGTAGATTGTGTTACGTAGGCAGTGCTGTCCCCCCGGGCGGCTACCCCTACAGGGGGGCTTCGCCTACGAGAGTAGCGGCGACAAGCACCGCTGCCTTGCGGCGCCTCACCCCGCGGGAGAAGCGAACGCAGGCGCCTTTGCCCGCGGGCTGCTAGCCCCACCGGCCGCAAGCCTGCTGCAAGCAGGCCGCCGACCAGCTGCTACAGACGCAGACCCTGTGTTGCCTGCTTGCGGTTGCATTGCATGCACGTAGATCGAGGGTAGCAACTGTTGCTGCCCTTTCTCACATTTGCGTAAACGATTTTGACGTCAAAAGTTTCTTCAAAACACAACACACGCAATTCAAAACCAATATATCGCACGAACAACCTAGCTCTGATACCACTATTGGGATATCTTGGAGGCAACATCACATGTGCAGGGGAAGAACAAGAAAACAAAATCCCCCATTCCCAAAAAGATGTTTGTCGTCGTGTGAAGATTGGTGCGCAAAATCCGTAAAACTGAAAAACTGCGTATAGGGTAGATTGTGTTACCTAGGGAGATCGTATATCCCTGTTTCCTTGCAGATCTTTAAGAGAGGGTGAAGGAGGTCAAGCGTCCTCCTCTCTAGCGGTGATCCACACAACAGGGCTGCGACGACGCTCCTCAAAACTCCAGGTCTGTTATAAGGTGGAGAGGGGAAGGAGAATAGGAGAGGCAAGTAGAGGCTCTAGCCTATGAGGCTCTGAATCCCTCCTATTTATAGAGGTCCCATGTCAAACCCTAATGAATCCTCCCCTAGTGGGTATTGGATCTGCATCCAATAACCCAAGCATTTTAGATTACTGGATCTCTATCTAATAATCTCTTATGGGCTCTTATTAGATCTCGTCCATGGGATCCAATAATTCAGAGGCTTATTGGATATCCAATAAGACAAGGGCTCCGTCGGATATCTCATATCCGAACCTCTACTCATCGCAATGCCTACCATATGTGTGTGACCCTCTAGGCCCAATATCGAGCTGGCCATGAGTCATATATGTCAGAACTCCTTCTAACTCAGTGAATTATTATCTCTGTAATAATTCACTCGACTCATTGACTACGGACGTACTAGGCCATTACGTCGTAGTCCCTAGACGATACAAGGGAATCCAATCCATTGGACCTATCTATCCTCAGTTACCGTGTACCTATAGTCCCTCATCCATCTAATATCCCAGAAACCGTATATCGAGCATGGTGCTGTCAGACCCATACGATTTCTACTCGAGTCTCGTACTAATCGGATTTTCCCGGAGAACACTTTCTCTCTCAACTCGAATGACCCTGGCCAGGGATTTGTCTGAGCAAGAACACATGAGATATTCCTCTCATGACGCCGAGAGTGGATGATCTTCTATCGACACTCAATAGCCCTCGTAAGGTCGACTACCACTCCCAATGACCAACTGTACTAGATCTAGGATAGTCAAACCTATAAGTCTGGTATCAAAGAGTGGAGCACTCATACAGGACATCATTGGTGTCTTAAGTCTAAGGACTAGATATACCACTAGGACTACGGAATCGCTGTCTAACAATAAGGCATCATCAACCATCCAGCATTCCATAAGCGGATCAATCAGTGAACTCATTTTCTAATGAGCACTTGTACTATATCCCTAGTGTCCCTACACGAGCAGCTATGAGACCAGCTACATCCATCATATGGACGGGTATACAACACACTAGTCTGTCCGGTTATCACGATGTCCCTCTCGAGTAACCTATGACCGGGATTATTTAGGATATGTGCTTAAAGGTAAATCGATCTCATTTTCGTGATCTCATCACGATCCGATTCCCATTGTACAAATCCAAGGATATCACAATATATTTGTGCATATATGCAATAGTTATAAAGTGATATATGCTAAAATATAATAAGCAAAAGGATTCTGTATCAAGTCACACGTGCCATCACTCACGTGATTGGCTTGCTGGACACCTATGACTAGCACTTATCAATTGGTATCAGAGCGACGATAAGACTTTAGGGTCTTATCATTTGGTATCATAGCGACGATAAAACTTTAGGATCTTATCACTATCAAAGATGATGGTTAGATGATTCCTTTATTAACTAGTAAGAGAAACATGTTCCCGTTTTAATGGGTGAAAGATATCACTTCATTAGTTGTCAGCACAACATGAGTTGATTTCTATCCACTATTAATCATGTGTTTTATTTTAAAATTAATTTATAAAATTTTTATTTTTATATTTTTATCCATATCTTTTCCGTAATCCGTAACAGGAGATTTGGGCAATCAAAGTTAAGATGGAACTATGTAGGTATGCTTCTGACTTAGACGTAATCAAATAGATCCGTCATAATCAAATAGATCCAAACATTGAGTTTGATCGGAGGGTTGTGATCTATGTGAAGCCACAGGGGCTGCCCTCAGGGGTCCCTCCGCCCTAACGCCCCTCCCCTTCTCCGACCGCCGCTCTATCTGCCTCTCCAGAAGGTTTCAATCACATAGAAATCCCATCGCTTCTCCTTCTCTTTACCGTTTCCTCGCCGTTTACCCTACGGATAGAAAAGCTATTCCAAGGGTTCAAGAACGGGATCATCGAAGGAGACAGGAGATGCAAGGGGGGAAGGAGGATGAGGAAAAGGTTCTGCGGTGCCAAATCAACGAATGGTACCCCATGTTCAAGCCTCATACTATTCGCACCCTCTTCCACCCCCTCCCCGATCCCTTCCTCCGCTACCTCCTCGGTCTCAACCCCGTCTCCCCACCTCCCCACGCCGACTCCCACAGCGACGACGACGATGACGCGCCGCCGCCGTTCCTCCTTCCCCGTCCCGCGTCCGGCCGCGACCCCCTTCCTCGCCCCGCCGCCGGCATTGACCCCACCTCCCTCCTCGACTGCTCGTCCCAGCTTTCCGTATCCGACGAAGACGAAGCGGAAGCTGACTCCGCCCCGTCGTTTCCCGAGCTAGAGGCGGCGGTCGAGCGGTCCATTACCGCCCTAGGCGGCGCCGCCTTCCCCAAGTTGAACTGGAGCGCACCCAAGGACGCCGCCTGGATCTCCGCCGACGGCACCCTCCGCTGCTCCTCCTTTGCCGACGTTGCTCTCCTCCTTCACTCCTCCGACTCCATCGCCCACGACCTCTCTTCCCACCCACTCCCCTCCTCCTCCTCCTCCTCCTCCTCCTTCCCACTCTTCACCTTTTACCTTGCCCTCCGCAAGTGGTACCCTTCTCTCCGCCCCGAGATGGAGTTCCGCTGCTTCGCCCGCTGCCGCCGCCTCATAGCCATATCCCAGCGCGAAGTCACCAACTTCTACCCCGCCCTTCTCGACCACCGCCACCACATCCTGCCGCTCATCCAGACCTTCTTCTCCGAGGTCGTGGGTCCCACGTTCGAGTCTCAGAACTACACCTTCGACGTTTATGTCACCAGTGACGGGCGGGTGAAGCTTATCGACTTCAACCCATGGCGCGCCTTCACATTACCCCTTCTCTTTACCTGGGAGGAGTTGGAGGAAGAAGCATTTAATTCCAAGGAGGAAGCAGTAGACAAAGAGCAGGGAGAAGAAGAAGCAAGATTGGTGGAGTTTCGGATTGTCGAAAGCCAATGTGGGGTGAGGCCAGGGTTGAAGACGGCTGTGCCTTACGACTACTTGGACACAGGGGAAGGAAGTGGGTGGGATCAGTTCTTGAGGAGAGCCGACGAAGAGCTGAGGAAGCAGGCCAAGACACCTTTGCACCCCAGTAATGATGCTTAAAGAAGAACAAAAGATCTTTCAGCTTGATTTCTTATGGATTTCTAACCAGGTCAGTCTCAAAAGAATCACTGCTTCTAGTTTGTGCTTTTTTGCTTCTAACTCTAGACACCAGTAGTCTTAAAAATCACTGGTTTTTGTTGTGACTGCTTGTTATTGGACTGAGTATATAATGTACTTCAAAGAGGATTATTACATGATGGATACTGTACCTCAAACAGCCTCAGTGTTGAAACACTTTGTCTTCTTGATTGTCCCATGCACCCTCGAATCTATTTCATTAGGATCTTTCCCCTTGTAAGAGACAAAATACATAGTTACGCAAAGCTCAGACAAGTGATCGGAGTGGCTATAGAATACATTGCTATTATGTTTGCCAGAGGAAGTGGAAGGTTAACATGGTGAAGAATTGTTACATAGAA